TTGAAGGTTTGGTGGCTTTAGGGCATAGGGTTTATCCCTGGCAACTCCTTATTTGGTAAACTTACTAATAAGCTTATCTGGAAGTGACTTAGTATGCTTCTCAGGTGCATGTGGAAGCAGGAGTCTGTTTCCCCTCTGTTGCCTGTAGTGTGATCTCTGGATCTAAGAAAAAGAAAAAGAGAACCTCTATAAATGGAAAAGGGAAGCTGTTCTCTGTATATGGATGTTGATCTCTCTCTCTCTCTCTCTCTCTCTCTCTCTCTCTCTTTCTCTGTGTGTATGTGTATCTCACTCCCTTCCCTTCCCGTTCTCCCCCCTTTTTTTATTTCTCTTTTATCTCTGTTGTTGTGTATTTTGAGAGAGAGTCTCACTATGTAGCCCAGGCTGGCCTCAAGCTTGTGATCTTCCTCCCTCACCTCCCAAGAGCTGGGATCGCGGATATATTGACACCATACCCAGCTGAGATGCCTTGCTTTTAAAGGGCCTCATAAGCTAGGCATAGTGGTTGGTGTCCACCTGGAGTCTCAGTTTCTCTGAGGCTGAGGCAGGAGAATCACTTGAGCCTGTGAGTTTGAGAACAGGCTGGACAACGTAGAGGGACGCCATCTTTTTTGTTTTGGCAAAAAGCAAAAAGGGGGGAACCTCCCAGGTGTTTGTCAGAAAACAAAGGAATAAAGCACACACACAAAAAAGTGCACCAGTCAGACAAGAGCTCTCTCTCACCTGCCAAAGACCAAACTGCTTTCATCTCCTTGGGCCTGTCTTCCTCCATTAAGTGGGTTAGTCACAGCTGGAATACCTAAAATGGCTATGACAGTGCTTTTGTATACAATCTATAAAGTATGCAGCAGATGTTACAGGACTTTAGAAGGAAAAAAAAAAAACTTTAAAGGGCTTAATGATCACATCCAGAAATATGATTTCTTGCCCCAAGAGGGAAGGATGAGAATTCAGCCTTCTAGCCTATCATCCCCTGGGTTGGAAAAAACTGGAAGCAAGAGTGAGAACATACCTAACCCAGAATGCCTCCCTCCAAACGATTAATCCTGACCTGACAGAGACTGTGCCTTCCTGGTGGAGTGCTGTGAGCATTTACAGATTGTTCTTTGGCAGTTGCCTAATAAGGGTTGGGGCCAAGCAAGCTGAGCAGAGAGCTCACATTCTAGAGAGCTCAGAGAGAAGTGGCCACCCTGATATACCCCTTTGATAACAGGACCTCAGTAGATCGCACCAAAACTTGAGGTCTCCATCACACACTGCCCTTAGACTCCGACAGCTGACCTGCTGTGTGTCTCTTCATCTCCCTGAAGCAGAGAAGCCTCCTCTATGTTGTACAGTGCCATGCCTTCTAATCTTGTATGCCCTTGTCCATGTAAGAGAAAGAGGAAGAATTTCTCCCTCTTGAGGAGAGGTTCAAAGTAAGAAATTTGGGTTCAGGCTGTCCCTTCTTGTACTCTGAAGATCCAGGACCTCATATGCCAGTGGCTTTTGCTAATGGCTACAACCCAGCCTGTGGCTATTGTTAAGGAAACTGCCTTATGATTTTCTATTTTTTTTAAAGGGTGGAGATCCCTGGCAAGGAAAGATGGAGGGATGCATGGAGTGTATTGCCCTTCTGCTTACGGGCTAGAAAGCAAAACCTTAGCCAGATCAAATGAAACTTTTCCTCATTCCTTGAGTACTCTATGGTAGACACTGAGCATCCTTCCAAGATTTTGAAATGACCTCTGAGTCTATAATCCCATTCCTTTATTACTTTCTTAGAATGATGTGCTAGGTAAGGCCAATTCTTTTCCCTATTAAAGGTCTTAAGCAGGCTAAGTAACTTGCTAAAGGGTGACTGGAAAAGTGGCAGGTATGGCTCTGAATCTGCTACTGGCCATTCAGTAACAATAAAAATACCATCTGAAAATACCATCTGAGTGCCCACTAAATACAATTTCTCAAATAAGCACCAGGGAGCAAATAATGAACAAAACAGGCAAAAAAATACCTGTCTTCACAGAGCAAATACTATATTGGGCAGAGACAGAAAAGGTTAAAGCTTTTGCCAAGAGTAGCAGCTCACACCTGTAATGCCAGTACTTGGGAGGCAGAAACAGGTATGAGTTCATAATCAACCTGGACTATAGTGAATTCCAGACCCAGCCTGGACTCTATAGCAAGTCTCTTTCTCTCCTTAAAAAAAAAGTGGAGCTGGGCATGGTGGCACGCGCCTTTAATTCTAGCACTCAGGAAACAGAGAAGTGGAGCTCTGTGAATTCAAGGCCAGCCTGGTCAACGTAGCGAGTTCCAGGCCAGCTAGAGCTGCAGGGAGACCCTGTCCCAAAAAGACCAAAAAAAAAAAAAAAAAAAAAAAAAACAACAACAACATCTTATCCCAGCTCATACTCATCAGCATTGTTCTAGACATCCTCTTCAAAGGTTAAGGAGCTGTTCTTAAGGGCCAAGATGGGCTTCTTGCTGCTATAGCCCCTCCCACTCTTTTCAGGCTTGGAGAACTAAACTGCGAGAAAGTCCTGTGATACATAGTCCTCTCTAATCTGTGGGGAAAGATGCATTTCAAGATACCAGATAAAGCTATGAGGAGAACTTATGTATTCCATGTTTCTCCTAGAAATACTTAAAATACTTATTATAATATTTACTATTTTTACAGACAGGGCCTTGCTTTATAGCCTACATTGGCCTCAAACTCACAATACTCCTACCTCAGCCTCTTGAGTACTAGAATTATAGGCATGTGTCACTGTAGCTGATGATAAAGTTAAATTATAAATTAGGCACAGAGGCTGGAGAGAGAGCTCAGTTGGTAAAGTGCTTTCTGTGCAAACATGAGGACCTGAGTTCAATTCCCAGCATCCACATAAAAAGCCAGGTGTGGTAGCATGTACTTGTGATCCCAGCGCTGAGGAGACAAAGATAGGAGGATCTCTGGGGCTCACTAGTCAGTCAGCCTAGCCTAATCTGGGAGCTCTAGATCAATGAAAGACCCTGCCCCAAGGTTCTCTCTGGCCTCCAAACACATGTGCACACAAACATGCACACATACCTATGCACATGCACCTGTACAACATACATTAAAAATATTAGGCATAATGACAGATCTACAAAATAAACTAGTAACTAGTAACAAAACTGATCGATTATAGCGACATAGTTCCGCGAATGCATGTCCCCCTTCATGCACTCATCCTCACAGAATATGGATAGGCAGGAACTGTTGTCCCACCTGTTCCTATGCCAGTCTGAGTGACGGAGTTTCACCCACTGCCTCAAGCTCTTTTCAGACCTTACTTTCCAGGATCCCCTGCTTCCTTAATTCACTGTAAGTCAAGGCATTAGGAGGGTTGACTGGAGCACTCTGGCAGACAAAATGGTGTAACAACCTCCATCGTCGAGGAACCTGCCAGAAACAGGATTAGCTGGAATCAGCAGGGACTCTTGGCCACGTGAGATTTCTGGAGAAAATAACTACTAAAAAAGAAACAAGTCCTGGGCTGGAGAAATGGTTCAGCGGTTAAGAGCACTGGCTGCTCTTGCAGAGGACCCAGGTTCGATTCCCAGCACCCACATGGTAGCTAACAGTGGTCTGGAACGCCAGCTCCAGGGAATCCGAAGCCCTCTTCTGACCTCCGAGGGCATTGCACAGCACAGGTACATTCACACACATGCAGGCAATACACTCGTACACAAAAAATAAAAATAAATAAAATATTTTTAAAAAAGAATCAAGTCCTTATGTGATGACTCTTGCTTGGGTTTTGTTCACCTTCCAGAGGTGAGGATGCTGTCTGTTTTTTAGACCAGTCAATGGAAGCTCCTTGCCAATCCCCCCTAGCATAACTCAATTCCGGGGACTGTTTCACTAGGACTGGGACCCACATTTTGGTGCTGCATCCAGGAACAGCCCCTTCCCATTGGAGTGACTGATGTGTGACACATAGCCTGCCCTTGTCTGAGAACAAAGCTCAGTCTCTGCTACCTTTAGGGCTGCCCATTCTCATTTATACTTAGCTGTGCCCTACGCTTTAGCCAGGATATGCTCCAGAAAACATTTGTCTCGCTGAGGGAGAAATGCCCACCCTTCTCTGATGCATGTACTGTGCTGACATGAGACTTTCTGGTGCTCCCTCACAGACAGGACCCCTTCCTCTCCTGATGACCTTGCTGGGGCCTGTGCTCTAGCTGAGCTGATAGCTTGCTTATCCCTCCCACACTGGAGAAACTGTAACGCTCATAGACTTCAGCCTCACTATCTTTCTTCTCAGAGGTCCATCTGTCCCTTGTGGGAAAAAATGATTCCACTCTGTATCACACATTGCCAGCATTTTACTGTCTTCTTACCCCCCAGAGCCCTAGGGAAAAGGAGAGAGCTTAGTCCCAAGACCAAAACTTGGTGCCATACAACCCCCACAGACTGCCAACCTTACATACTACTGAAGACTGAGTGTTCTAAGGGACCTTTTATCAGACTGTCTTCCTGGTTTGTAAATGTCTGTGTTGAGAGTCAGGAAGAATGTACCAAATGGGAGCGGGTGGTGTGCTGGCAGGCCAGCCTCCAGACCACTGGGGTCTAGATTCCTTTTCTGATTCTTCTTATAAGTTCTCACATCTGCTAAGTTCAGACTAAAGTATCCTGTAACTAGCCCCTCAGAAAGAGAGAGAGGTGCTGGGGGAGGGCACATTAGAACCATTAGAAACTGTAACCTTTTATTTCCAAGTTTCTGGGGTTAATTTGTATGGCTTGATTTGGGAGAAATGAAATCTGAAATAAATTCAGATACATCTGAAATAAATTCTCTACATTACCAGTTTACAGGCCACCCAGGCTTCCCATGAGCCTGGCCACATAGCTCTGGCCTCAGTTATCAGTTCAGTTCAGACACCAACTGTCATTTCAACCCTGTGCTAGAAGAGTACCTTTAGCCCTTGCAGATCATGGATCCTTGTGGCTGTACTAATTGTTTCTTTTGTCTTTCTTTGCATCTCTATTCCAGAGACCCAGTTGTCATCGTTATCCAGGGAGTCCTCCTCTTTCTTCTGCTGCTGCCCTACCATCCCAGTTGCTGATTGTTGCTGAGGCTGCCTCCATGGCAACATGCGCATCCTGTTTAGACCTCCAAGTAATCTGAGCTAGGAACCTACCCACCCTGGACAACTACTTTCATCACCACCCAGAGGACACCAATCATCGTGATACGAAGTCCGCCTTCTATTAAGTTCCCCCATCCTCTTCCTCCTCTCACTACTAGACTTCATACAGAAGAAAGGATCTAAGCTTGGTGTTGCCACTCTGAAGCTTATTGCACAAGATATAGTCAATTTATTTCCTAACTGGGCCCCCAGAGAAGAAAGAAGTGGGAAGAAGTGGGAAAGGAGGGCAAGAGACACTGATCAGTTGGAGGGAAACACCATCTTCTCTGGTTGAGGCTGGTAACTGCAGGCAAAATGACAAATACATCAGGACATAGCTTGCCAGCCAACTCGACAGCCCAGAGCTATGAAGGGGAGTTTGGCTGCACATTAATGGACCTGAGGAAGCTCATGGAGTTTCGTTCTACTGAGGCAGTAGACCAGATCAATATCCTCTATGGAGATGTACAAAATATCTGCAGTAGACTGAAAACCTCCCCTGTAGAAGGTAAAGGCCATTTCAAGTGCTGGGAGGTCAGAGGAAGGTCATTAGTATTTATTAGTATGTTATTTTCCAACCTCTAGGGAAGGTACATTTCTGGAGACCCAATGGCTATGCTTTTGTCTGGTGGGCTGAGCACAGTTCTATGAAGCCCTGAAAGGAGGGAGGCCAGGAGAGCTGTTTCTTTCCCTGTGATGATTAGAGACGATGTCTCCAAAGACCATTCTTTTCTCCTTTTTTCTGTATCTGTCTATAGAAAGTAGGATATTTATTTTATAAATGTCTGTGATATAAATGCTCTTGTCAACAAATAATCAAATTCTTTATTCTATATCAGCCTTTGATTACAAAAGAGCTTAAGGTAGAATTCTTCTTCATATTGATCTTGAAGTTTAATGGTAAAGAAAAGGCTACCAAAAGTGGATAGTGGACCAGCCATTTGAGTACCTTATTTATTGTGTGCGGTTAGAGACAGGATGGTGTGTCATAACCATGTTTTTGGATCATTTACTGTTTTCTGTCATGGGATTATTGATTTTTTTTTTAAAGCCCTGCCTGGCATGCTTTTTTCTTTTTTAAAAACATGTAAGAACCAAGCCCAGGTCTTTGCACAAGCACTGTACCACTGAGCTAGGTCCTCAGCCCTCTTTTCACTTTTTATTTAAGACAAATTCTCACTAAGTTGCCCAGGCTGGCCTTAAACTCACTCTAATTCAGACAGGCCTTGAACTTATGATCCTCCTGCCTCATCTCCCAAGTAGCTGGGATTACAGGCCTGTACAGCCAGGCCCTACTATGTCTCATAAGCTTAGAGTACAAATATTAATTCTACCATTTACTAGCTGAATATACTGAATTTACTCCACTTCTATGAGTCTGTTTCTTCTTTGAAATAATGTTTATATCTAGCCCATAGAATTACTGGAATTAAATAGTATATTCACATACATACATGCATGTGCCAGTATGCTTACTTGCATGTGTGTAGTGTCCCCAAAGGCCAGAAGTGGGCAACAGAGTCAGAGCCACCAGGTAGGTGCTGGGAGTCACACTTGGGTCCTCTGGAAGAACAGCAAGTGCTTATAACCTCGGAGCCATCTCTCCAGCCCAGAAATTAACATTCTTTAGGGGAATCGATGGCAAGATAAGAAGAATCTGCTTGAAGACAGACCAAATTATGTTTTTTGGTTCATTGGTTTTAAGATTTAGATTACCATCTTCTGTCCTGTTAAGATCTCTGGTGTTTTACTGTGCTCTTACTACCATGCCCTTTGAGGGCAGTGTCATGTTCTACCTAGAACTGTCCATCTTGCTGCTACTTAGAGTATACTGGGATTGGACCTTCCTTGGCATGATAGACTAATAGAGTGAAATTAGCTTCTCTCTCTTTCTCTCTCTCCCTCCCTCCCTCCCTCTCTCTATGGGAGGGGGTACTGGGTATCAGACTCAAGGCCTGCAAATGCTAAGCATATGCTCTATTAGTGTTGGGGAAGGTAGAGGACTAGATGAGTGAATTCAGAATAGAACAGGTGTGAAAGGCAAATGGGTTTCCCCTTTAAAGCTCATATTCCATTCTGGACAGTCAATTTGGCAGAGCTCCTCAGTCTGAGAGGCACAGTCTCTCTTCATGCCCTCTGCCTGGAGCTGTCTCCCTCAACCCTTGCCCTACCTCCTAGGGCTCCTAGCAACTTATCTGGGCATGGCTGCAGAGCCTAGCATGCTGTGGTCCACTGTGCCATCACACTTCAGCAAATCTACTAGTACTCATATAAAGTGGGAGAGGCTCACACTGGAGGAATGTCTTGGAGGGTGGGAAAGAAGCACTTGGAGACAACCTGGTCAGATATCCACAAAGGAGCTGGCCATCCTAGATGTGAGTAGTATAGGCAAGGCCAGTAGGTTCATTTAAGAAATTCTTAGTGCTTGGCAGAGGAACAAGAAGGGCTCTTATAAAATTTGGGCCAAGAGGATAGGAGGTCAATGGGAAAGACAGAGGGTAAAAGAGCCCTTCTGTCCCTTCTCCCCAACATGAAATAATCCTCTGGCACCCTGAGAGTTCCCAGTCTGGTTTGAGTTTCATACCTAGAGCTGAATTAAGCCAGGAGAGCTGTGAGCTTTCTCTTCCCTGCCCAACCCCATGCTTTGCCTTCAGTACCCAGCCCCTGTTCATTCAGAGCTGGGTGTCTGGGTTTGCTGGGACAATGCTCCAGTCAGGGAGTAGAGCTCTTGATGGGACAATGTAGCTGGGTTTTCTGAACCTGAGAGCCTTCCCTGCTTCCTCCTCTCCCCCAGGCCTGGAACCTTTATGCTGCATGCCTTCCAGCTCAGCAGCAACTCTTCCAAGTGTTTTTGAGTTTCTTTTGCCTTTTTGTCTGTTTGCTTAGTGCTTGGATAGAACCCAAGGCCTCCTGCATGCTAGACAAGCCCTCTACCACTGAGCTACACACCCAACCTCTACTTTGAGTCTTGAGTGTGTGCGTGCGTGCGTGCGTGCGTGCGTGCGTGTGTGTGTGTCTTGCTTGCTGGCCTTGCAATCTCAGTGATCCTCCTACCTCAACCTCTCAAATGCTGGAAATAAAGGCATGCTTTATGCCTGGCTCCTACTTTGATTTTTTTCTTTCTTTTCTTTTTCTTTTCCCCTTTTCTTTTGAGATAAGGTCTTTATTGTAGGTTAAGCTAGTCTCAAACTCACTATAAAACCAAGGATGACTTTGAATTTCTGTTAATCTTTTTTTGGGGGGAGGGTTGTCATTTCTGAGACAGGGTCTCCTTATAGCCCCAGCTGGCCTGGAACTTGCTATGTAGACCAATCTGGTCTCAATCTCACAGAGATCCACCAGCCTCTGCCTCCTCTGCTGGGATTAAAGGCATGCACCACCATGCTGGGCTGACTTTGCACTTCTGATCCTCCTGTCTCTACCTCCTAAATGCTGGGATTACGCGCACATGTACCACTTGGCCTAGATTTTGTGGGCTAGGGATCAAACCCAGGGCTTTGTGCAAGTTAGGCAAGCACTTTCCCAACTGAGCTACATCTCCAACTCCTCTTACTTTGACTTCTGTCCTTGTTGTATTGCATTGACCCATAAGCTGGGGGGTGGGAAGAAGGATGGCATTCCCTCCTCAGCTGCCTGAGAAGTTGCATCTACCCTAAGAAGTGGGGCTTTCACTCTTTTTATTTAGCTCAAAGGTGTGAGTGCTAGGAATGTGACACTGGTTAGAGAGAAGCTGGTGCATGCTGAAAGGCAGGTGGCAGAGCCAGCCCTGAGGAGGGTGGGGGCTCTGGGGAGCTTTCTCTTTCCTGTGGAAGAGCTGGGATTTTTTAAAAGACTTAAAGCAGGGGGCAGATGAAGCGACACGTTCCCTGAGGAAGCTGTCATCCCTGCAGGCCAAATGATGAAAGGAAGGTGCATTGTCTAGCCCAGTGTACTCTTGCTTTGACCTTGAGTCTGTCCCTTTATCTTGGGACAGGAGTCTAGCCAAGCACATCTATCATCTATGCCTATGCTGAGCTGGGGCGGGGGGTGTTGAAACAGGAAAAGTGTCTGAGACTCCTTGAAAGCACAGCGTTTGGCTAGATGGGAACTAGTTCCATTGTACAGTCCCCAACCTCAAGCTACTCTTCCCCCTTAGGACCCTAATCCATGGTTTTAAGGTAGGACTTGAAAAATACTGGGAGTTTTGTTTTGGTTTGGTTTTTTTAGAGGTGGGTCTTCTGTAAGCTTAGGTAAGTTCTCTCCCATTGAGCCATATCCCCAGTGCTTGAAATGTATTCCGATGTCTGCTCTCATGAACTGAAAGATGACTGCCTTCAGTCAACCTCAGGAAAGTCTCCCTTGTGCTATCTGTGTGGGAGAGGCTTCTGCCGCCTTCATTGGCAAGGTATCATAACTCAGATAGCTGGGAAGTCCCTCATGATGACTGGCCTAGACCCACCCTTTCTGGGGCTGAGCCCATTCTGACAAGGAGTACCTCTGCCCACATCATTCTTAGTGACAGCAGGAAGCTGACCCAGGCCCTTTCCTGCTGGAGCCAAGTCACTGCAGGTGGGGCTCCAAATCTCCCTTCCCTGGATCCTCACAGAAGACACACATGTTCCACTCCAGCCCACTCAGCCTGGGCAGGGGCCCTGCAACTCCCAGCCTGGGTGCAGACAGTGACTTCACAGAGTCTCCTCTTTGCCTCTCCCAGCTGTGTGCTCAGTCTGGTTCTTAGGGCTAGAGGCACTCCCAGTTTGGGTGTGGCTGGCTCCCTCATGTTTTCTGGGATGTTTTTCCTCCCATCTTCCTCATGCATTTCTTGGGGGAAACCCTTTTCCTGTGTTTCTAGGATGGCCTCCCTGCCAAGTATTCCCCTCTCCAGGAGGCTGTTTAAGTATTTGAGAAGCCACCATGGAGATCAGAGCCCAAAACATTTTTCTGGACTGGACAAGTATTTGTATGAAATTACAGAGACTGAAATGAGGCCTGGGAGGCCTCTAGAGCAGAAAGAATGGAGTGGAAAATCCAAAATTGGGATTTGGCTGAGCTCCCAGCCCCACATGGTTTTGCTGTGCAGCAGCACATGTCAGAGGATTCCCAAGGCTAAGTTCTCTAATATCCTGGGCCTGCCCTGCCCTGCTGCAGGGCAGCTGGGAACAAGGACAGCCATTTGACTTTTTAAGGGAGCTATTGTACAAGCTCTGTATGACTTAAGGTGGAGCAGATAGATGAGTAGAAAATGGCAAAAAGGGTGAGATGGCTCAGCAGGTAAGGGTACCTGCCACCAAATCTGATGACCTTCTGAGTTTGGTCCCCAGAACCCACATAGTTAAAGGAGAGAACCAACCTCCACACACAATTAATTAATTAATTAATAGTACAAAGAAAAGAGAAATGGAAGCAAGGATGTGATTTTGAGGAAGACTGTCTAGATGAGGGCAGGTTCAAACTTTTATATTATCCATAATGTGTTTGTTTCATTTGGTGACATTTACAAAAAGCCATCAGGAGCCTTTTAGTGAGCAT